TGATACTCTACATAGAAAACCCAAAAGACTAAAAATTCCTAGAACTGATACATGAATTCAGCAAAGTCACAGGATATAAAATCAATGTACAGAAATCAGTTGCATTTCTATACACCAATAACAAAGCAACAGAAAGAGGTATCAGGGAATCGATCCCATTTACAATTGCACCAAGAACCATAAAATACCTAGGAATAAGCCTAACCAAAGAGGTAAAAGATCTATATGGTGAATATTATAGAAAGCTTATGAAAGAAGAAAAGAAGACACAAAGAAATGGAAAAAACATTCCATACTCATGTATTTTAATGAGTTATTTTATAAACTCAAATATTTTAAAAATGTAAATACTATCCAAAGCAATCTACACACTCAATACATCCCAATCAAAATAGCACCAGCTTTCTTCACAGAGCAGAACAATCAATCCTAAAATTTGTATGGAACTGCAAAAGACTCCAAACAGTCAATGTTGGAGGGTGAGGTGGGGGAAGCAAAGCTGGAGGCATCATAATCCTGTACTTTAGCCTGTATTATAAAGCTGTAATCATTAAGACAGCATGGTATTGGCACAAAAACAGACACAAGACCAATGGAATAGAATAGAGAACCCAGAAATGGACCCAAATATGTATAGCAAACTAATCTTTTCAAAGCAGGAAAGGCTATCCAATGGAAAAAAGAGTTTCTTTAGCAAATGGTACTAGCAGACCTGGACAGTAACATGTAGAAGAATGAAACTGGACCAGTTTCTTATACCAAAAACAAAAATAAATTCAAAATGGATGAAAGACCTAAATGTGACAGGATACCATCAAAATTCTACAGGAGAGAACAGGCAGCAACCTCTTTGACCTCAGCCACATCAACTTCTTACTTGACATGTGTCCAGAGGCAAGAGAAACAAAAGCAAACATGAACTATTGGGACCTCATCAAGGTAAAACGCTTCTGCAGAGCAAAGGACACAATCAAGAAAAGGGAACCGACATAATGAGAGAAGATATCTGCAAATGACATATTGGATAAAGGGTTAGTATCCAAAATTTATAAAGAACTTAACCAAACTCAACACCCAAAAAACAAATAATCCAGTGAAGAAATGGGCAGAAGACATGAACACTTTTCCAAAGAAGACATCCAGATGGCAAACAGACACACAAAAAGATGCTCAACAGTGTTCATAATTAGGGAAATACAAATCAAAACCACAATGAGATAAAACCTCACACTTGTCCGAGTGGCTAAAATGAAAAACTCAGGGAGCAAAAGATGTTGGCAAGGATGTGGAGAAAGGGGAACCCTCTTGCACTGTTGGTAGGAATGCAAACTGGTGCAGACACTCTGGAAAACAGTGTGGAGGTTCCTCAACAAATTAAAAATAGAACTATCCTACAACCCAGCAATTACACTACTAGGTATTTATCCAAAGGATACAGGAGTGCTGATTCCAAGGGGCACATGTACCTCAATAGTTTATAGCAGCACTATCCACAATAGTCAAAGTATGGAAAGAGCCCAAACATCCAGCAACTGATGAATGGATAGTATACACAATGAAATACTACTCAGCAATGAAAAAAAATGAAAGCCTATCATTTGCGACATGATGGATGGAACTGGAGGGTATTTTATGCTAAGCAAAATAAGTTGGTCAGAAAAAGATAGATATCATATGATTTCACTCATATGTGGAATTTGAGAAACTTAGGTAACCATAGGGGAAGGCAAGGAAAAATAAAATACAGACAGGGAGGCAAACCATAAAAGACTCTTAAATACAGAGAATAAACTGAGGGTTGATGGGGGTGGGAGGATTGTGGAAATGGGTAATAGGCATTGAGAAAGGCACTTGTTGGGATGAGCATTGGGTATTGTATGTAAGTTATGTATCACGGGAATCTACTCCTGAAGTCAAGACTACACCACATGTTAGCTAACTTGACAATACATACATACATACATACGTAAATAAACAACAAAATAAAAACTTGAAACAATTAAATTAAAATTTTAGTTCCTCAGTCATACTACCCACATGCGTGGTAGCCGCATGTTGCTGGTAGATGGCTACAGCATGGATATAGAACATTTCCATCATCACAGAAAGTTCTCTTGGACAGTACAGCACAGAAGGGACTGACAAGGAATAGGATGAAAGAAGCCTAGATCCCACAATGACCTCAATGGACACTGGATATCACTAGTGTTTGAAGGCATCTGAATGGGACAGGATGAACAGTGGGTCAACAGGACCATAGTACTAAGAGCACTGGTTAAGGTTCATGCTACCCTACCTAGTGGAGAAATGAGCCCTATCAGTTTGTGTCTGGGACTGCTTTCTCTCTTTTCACAACTAACCAGTGCCCTCTACTGACTGGCACATTCTTCTTGATATATTTGATCAGGTCTAATTGAGTCTGGGAACAATTCAGCCTCTGAGATTCCTGACTCAGACGTTCCACTTTCAGAAGGCAATCTTCCTAGCTTATTTCCAAGTTCCTGGGAAGATCTACCATCGCTCACATACTAGAGCATATTATTTTGAGCAAATGGTTTTGATCATACACTTCTGAGCAGAGCCTCATACTTGTTTCCTTTGTATTTCACCAGATCTTACGAACAGGGACAACACATTCCTGAGGTTCAGGTAGTCTGCAGTGAAAGAGCAGCAAGAATTATATACTGCAATTGATACACTGCTTGGAAAGAGTCTGGAAGCTTCTGGGCCAGAATCTAGAGGAAGAGTGTAACTGTCATTTCTCAGGAAACTCCGGGGAAATTCCTAAAACAGTTACAACCTTAACCTGATCTGGCAGAAAAGAACACATATACCAAATGGTGGTCTAACGGTGGCTGCCTTCACCAACGACTCATGGAGTCCGCCTCCCCCTGCCGGTTATGGCCCAGGATCGTAGGAGCCTCTGAATTCCTAGGTCACCTGCAGGCTTTATGCCAGCACTCCAAGACCACTTCTTACCATAACAGTGGCTACTTTATAAATGATGAATCAGTTCAAAAGACACGCATGCAGGATCCCGGAGTCAAGTGTTGTGCATTGTAAAGTTCTGATATACCGGAGATCACCAACATACTGAATAGATTCAACAAACAGCTGTGCAGACTGTCTCACTGGGGCCTTCCTTTGGTTTGAATCTCTCTCTACACCTTTCTGTGCCCAGTCCTTTCCATGATGCAGGACCTTCACCAGATGACCTACAAAATCTGGTTTCCCCTTTTTTTTTGTTTTGTTTTGTTTTGTTTTGTTTTGGGAAATGATAGGTAGCATGAGCTGGGGAGGAGAAGAGAGAGAAAATCTCAAGCAGGATCCACATCCTGCAAAGAATCCAACACTGCAGGGCTTGATCTCACAACCATTGAGATCATGACCTCAACTGAAATCAAGAGTTAGAAGCACAACAGACTAAGCCATCCAGGCCCCCCACCCCCACCCCTTACTTCTTAAAGAGTGGTGGCTGTTTTCCTTCACTTCCTCTATTCCAGACATTCTACATACTGTATCTCCCCCTGCTCTTAGGAGGGAGATTTACAATTTCCTGGAGACTAGTCTGTGGACCAGTGATGGGAAGAAAATTACTTGGGGAATTTGAAAAAATAATAGAGATTCTTGGAGCCCCTTATATTCGAATTTATTAGGCCTGAGGGGTCTTAGAAATAGGCATTTTAAACAAATGCCACAGATAAATCTGAAAAACAATCGAGTGTTTAAATCAGCTCCCTGCTGCTCTCCTTAACTACTACTTTACACATCACCCAAGTCTTCCTTAAAAACCAAAATTTAGAAGGGGAGAATGGGCAGATAGTATTTTTGTTTTTAATTTTTATTTATTTCTAGGATAGAGAGAGACAGCGTGAACAGGGGAGGGTCAGAGAGAGAGGGAGATACAGACTCTGAAACAGGCTCCAGGCTCTGAGCTGGCAGTCAGCACAGAGCCCGACATGGGGCTCGAACCCACGAACCGTGAGATCATGACCTAAGTGAAAGTCGGACGCTTAAACGACTAAGCCACCCAGGCGCCCCAATAGCTGGGAATTTTAAATCTTACCACATTAAAAGAAAAAAAGCTTCGTGGGAAAGTTTTTGATAATAAGTTGTTTCAGCTGCCTGTCGCACTTTTGCTGTTTTTATAAGTATCAGTCTATCTACGTTTGTGAAAAGTGTTTGTAAATCAAGCCAAACTGNACAGGCTCCAGGCTCTGAGCTGGCAGTCAGCACAGAGCCCGACGCGGGGCTCGAACCCACAAACCGCGAGATCATGACCTAAGCAAAAGTCGGACGCTTAACCGACTAAGCCACCCAGGCGCCCCGGGCAGATAGTATTTAATGGCTACAGCTGCAGTTTCAGAATATGAAAAATATTTTGACAATGGCTGGTGGTGATAGTTGCACAACAGTGTGAATATACTTAATGCCACAGAACTGTATACTTAAAAATAGTTAAAACAGTAAATGTCAGGTGATGTGTATTTTGCCATAATTTAAAAACTAAAAAAAGGGATGGGTACAGATATATGCTAGAATATAAGCACACCCTGAAAATATTATCTAAGTGAAAGACGCCAGACACAAAATATCATATATCATATGATTCCATTAATATGAAAATATTTTTCATAAAATTGAGTGTGGAGATAGCTGCACATATCTGTAAATATACAAAACACTACTGAAATGTACACTTTAAATGGGAGAATTGTATAGTATGTGCATTATATCTCATTAAAGCTGTTAAAAAAATTTTAACTGATTTTAAAACTACGATCACATTTGTAAACTTCTGAAGAACTTAAGTGGCACCCCATAAATCCTGGAATCACATTCTGGTGACACACTGGAAAAATTTTTTTAAAAAGCAAATAAATCAAAGGACTGAGGTTCAGAACAGCTGGCAAGGAAAATCAGAAAGATCTGTGACGGGGCATGGTGGTCCTGTAGTCACAGCAGCAAGGACAAGGTCAAGATTATAAAACACACTATGCTGAAATTCCTCAGAAACCTTTATTATGGTCCTCATCATTCATTAAGCAACCAATACAAACCATTGTCTTTTTCTCAGCCTCAAACAGCAGAGGCTGCATCCAAGCCTAAATGGAAGACACAAGTAGTGGAAGACCTTGTAGAGAAAAGCTAACAGGTGAGATCTCTGCTTATCCCGGCTTAGGTGAAGGTAGAACAGGAAAAGCATATAGGTACAATATTCCAAATGCTCCGTTCTTCAAAGCTGAGGCCTGCAGGAGAGGGGCTGGCTGAAGGACACAGGTGAAGACTCACAAAACTGCCCAGCTCAGCAATCAATCCAAAGTTCCTTTAAAAAACAAAAAAACAGAAAAACAAAAAAAACAAGAGCAATATGTAAAGCAAGGTGCCTCAAGAACTGGATGAGTGTCACAAACTGGGCAAAGTCAGAGTGGAAGCTGTTCTGGTACTGGCAATTCTCTAAGACCAAATTACTCATTTTGGGAATGTCCATCCAAAAGATCTCAAAGGAAGAACATGTCACCACAGAAAGCAGGCATCTGAGAGTGAAGCATACTGGTCTAGAGAGTTAGAATGAAACATGGGGAAAGAGCAAAGAAGTTGTTGTGTCTATTAATGAGCATTTGGGGATTCCATACAAAGTGTGAGTGAATCAGAATAAAGGAGAAGTTTTCTAAGCAAAAAGTTCATAATCTTTTGAGAAACTTCCAGTTCAAGATGGGAGACTGAGCCCACAAATTTGTATGCCCTCGCATCCAAGATTCCATTCAGAAGGAAATAAGGTTTTAAAAAGGTATAAATCCACAATAAAGAATGGGGACTGTCAGCAGTTAAGAGATTTCAACAAAAACCTGAATAATAGAAATTTCACTGAAGTATATTTATAAATAGACAGAAAAACAAATCAGCCTAGAATGAATAGAGAGGGCAGCAGAGGTGGGAGCCTATCTGCCTAAGAGACCCTTGGGGAGGCTCCAGCCAGACTCAAGAAAGAGACATAGACCAGAAAGGGTTAATGACCTGAGGGTCTACATAAGAAACAGCTGGCCTCATCTCCCTACAATCCTCCTAGCATGTAGCATTACCAGAAGACAAAATGGGAAAAAATCAGGGGGCTCTCTTCCAATAAACTAAATGAACTACCTGGAGAACTAGAGAAGCCTCTGAAAATGCCAGCTCCCCACAGTAAGGCTTTCGGGGCCCCAGCTTCACATCTGGTCCCATGCCAGCACACCCTAAAGTAAAAGTGTTAGGCAAAACCCACCTTCCCATACACACACAGCCTCCAAAGAGCCTTCTTACTACCTCATTCCTAAACAGAATGAAAATTATTGGGCAGACTAAAGAGTGAAAGGAAAAACTAAAATTTATTAAAAAAAAAAAAAAAGCCCTAGAATAAAACATATAATTCAGAAAAGAACACAAGAAAACAAAGCAAAAATACCTCTAAGTTAAAAAAAAAAAAAAAGAAAGAAAGAAACACCTTCTATGATAAAGGCAAATTCCTGCTGAGATCAACTGATAAACCCGACTGAAATATTTTTTAAAAGAAAATCCTTCAAGCACTGAAGAGGCATCAATAAAAGTGAAATCTAAAATCTAGAGAAGGCAAGAACACAAAGTAAACCTGGCCTCCAAATCTGCTTTTGCCCTAAGGTCATTTGCAGTCCAAAAGATAGAGCTGAGAAATTCTGGCTGAGCCAATCAAGAGTCAAATCTATGAGTCTGCCCAAGTGGGAAGGTCTGAATTTTTTAAAAGCTCTAATCCCAAGAGGCGACGCCCTCAGAGTAATGCTGGACTAGAATTAAATCAGCCCCTTCACAGACTTGCCATCACGGTTCGCGTAGATTACCACAGAGAACCAAGAATCCTCAAGTCTTGGATCTGGATTAAGGAGATCCTGAACTTACACCCTCCCCTACGTGCCTTGCAGCAGTAAATGAAAATCTTTGGAGAAAGTTCTCATCATACAGGCCTCAAACTATCCAAAGAATAATTTCTTCAAGTACAATGACCAATACATGAAAAAAACTAGGCATAAAGAGGGAAAAAGACCATGAAACAATATCAACAGAAGCAAGTCACAAAAAAAAATAAATCAGCCTCAGAAAGACTCTGGACATTAGACTGGACAGAGACTATAAAACAATTGCACTTACTTTGTTTAAACAAATAAAAGACGAGCTTCAAACCACCTGGAGCACATACAAATAACAAATGGAATTCACAGAACTAAAAATATAAAAACTAAAACAGAAAACTTTAAAGGAGACATGATCACTAGAGAGAATAAACTGGGAGGTCAGAAAAAAACTACACAGAATGTAGCTTGGAGAGGAAAATTATGACTGAGGTTTAACACATATTTAATGGAAATCTGAATAAGAAAGGAGAGAGAAAGAACAAAGCAGAGCCATTATCTGAAAATATACAAGCGAGACTTCTCCAGCACTGACAAAAGACATCAATCCTTAGATTTAAGAAGCCTAAGCAGCAGATACATAGAGGGAAATCGGCACCTAGAAACATCCAAGTGAAACTACAGAAATATCAAAGACAAATACAAAATCTTAAAAGTAACCAAAACAAGGACAAATTAGCTTCAAAAGGTTAACAGTGATTTCTTAACAGAAACAATGGAAACCAAAACACAGTAGAATGGGAGCTTCAACATTATAAAAGGAACTTTCCACCTAAAATTCTGTATTCAGCAAGATACCTTTAAGAACCAAAGTAAAATACAGGAATGTAACCACTCTGGAAAACAGTACGGAGGTTCCTCAAAAAATTAAAAACAAAACTACCCTATGACCCAGCAATTGCATTACCAGGTATTTATCCAAAGGATACAGGAGTGCTGATTCAAAGGGGCACACACATCCCAGTGTTTATAGCAGCGCTATCCACAATTGTCAAAGTATGGAAAGAGCCCAAATGTCCATCGACTGATGAATGGATAAACAAGATGTGGTGTACATACACAATGGAGTATTACTCAGTGATGAAAAAGAATGAAATCTTGCCATTTGCAACAACGAAATGGAACTAGAGGAGTTCAAGCCCTGATTCTGGCTTGGCTCTGGCTCTTTATTAACAGGGAAGAGCCTGCTTGGAATTCTTTCTCTCTCTCTCTGACTCTGCCATGCTTACCTACTCTCCTTCTTTCTCAAAAAAATAAATAAATAAGTAACTTAAAAAAAAAAAATTGGGTATTTGGTTCCTGATAGAAAAAATGAAACAAGCCTTAAAATAAGGGCAAAATAATTTTTTAAAAAACACATAAAATAGGACAAATAGGAAGCACAAAATTATATGGTAGATTTAAACCCATATATATCACTAATTATATTAAACATAAGTGAACTAAGTGCTCCAGCCAAAGACTGTCAGTCTAAAGTTTTAAAAATAAAAAATAATACAATTATATCATTTATAAATATTTAAAAGCAAAAATTAAAAAATGAAAAAATACATATTATTCAAATACTAACAAAAGAAATTATAGGTTTTAATTAAACAAAATAGTCTTTAAGGCAAAAAGCACTATCAAAAGTAACTATGGTCAATTTATAAATATAAAATGCTTGCACACTTAACTGCTAAGAGCCTACTGTAGACTAATAACACAGTTGATTAGCACATATTTTGTATGCTATATGCATTATATCTGTTTTATCACGATACAGTCACCTAGGAAAAATGTTATTAATAAATAAGAAAGAAAAAATATATTTACAGTGCTGAACTGTAAAAAAATCCACATATACTAGAACAGCTCAAAATTGTACCGTTTAGGGTACCTACTTGGCTCTGTAAGTACAGCATGTGACTCTTAATCTCAGGGTCATGAATTCAAGCCCCACACGGGGCATGGAGCCTACTTTTTTTAAAATGCCCATTTGGGGTATCTGGCTGGCTCAGTCAGAAGAGCAAATGACTCTTGATCTTGGGGTTGTGAGTTCAAGCCCCATGTTGGGTACAGAGAGTACTAAAAAGGAAATAAAAATAAACTTTATAAACAAACAGGGGTGGCTTGGGTGGCTCACTAGGTTAAGCATCTAACTCTTGGTTTCAGCTCAGGTCATGATTTCACAGGTTTGTGGGTTCAAGCCCCACATCAGGCTCTGTGCAGACACCACTCAGAGCCTGCTAGGATTCTCTCTCCGGTTTCCTCTGAACTTCTTGCACATACATGCTCTCTCTCTCAAAATAAACATACTTAAAACAAACAAACTTATAAAGATACCAGTAACAAGAGCATCAGAACTATTAAGTACTTAGAGGAAAATATCTAACAAAATACGTCAAGATTTCTTCCCAGAAAATAAAAAACTTAATTTAAAAAACATTAAAGGGGCACCTGGGTGGCTCAGTCAGTTAAACATCTAACTCTTGGTTTTGGCTCAGGTCATGATCTCATGGTTTCATGAGTTCAAGTCTCGCATCAGGCTCTGCCCCGACAGTGTGGAGCCTGCTTGGGATTCTCTCTCTCCCCTCTCTGTGCCTCTCCCCTACTCATACTATGTCAGTCTCTCTCAAAAATGGATTTTACAAAAAGTTTTTTAAACATTAAAGATCTAAATAAATCGAAAAACACACCATGTTCATGGACTGGAATATTCACTATTATAAAGATATAGTTTCTCTCCCTAAGTAATCTACAGATTCAATACAACCCCTATGAATACCCTTTTTATGTGGAATTTGTCAAGCAGATCCTAAAATACACATGAAAGTGCACAGAACTCAAAATAGTCAAGACACTTAAAGGTGGGAAGATTTGTTCTTTCAAATAAAGCTCCATAATTGAGACAGTGTGGTACAGGCATAGGAATAGGCACAACAGAAAGTCCATAAACAGCCCTGACTTCTAACAAAAGTAGCACTACAAAGAAAATGATATAAAAGTGTCTATCTAAATAATAAGAAAAAAATAAATTTGACCCTACTTGATACACAAAAAGTCAACTACAGTTTTATGAAAGACAAGAAAACTACAAAAATTTTTGCATATAGGAGAATGTATTCATGACCTTGGGGTAGGGGAAAAAGTCTTAAACAGGAAACAAACAACATTACATAGAAAGAAAGAAAATTAATACATTTGACTATGGATTTTTTAATGTTTTATTTATTTTTGAGAAAGCACAAGCAAGGGAGGGCCAGAAAGACAGGGACAAAAGATCTGAAGCAGTCTCTGTGCTGACAGCAGCGAGCCTGATTTGGGACCTGAACTCACTAACCACAAAATCATGACCTAAGCCTGAGTCAGGCACTCAACTGACAGAGTCACCCAGGCCCCCCACATTGGACTATCTTTAAATAAGAGCTCATTTAGGGTGCCTGGGTGGCTTAGTCAGTTAAGCATCTGACTCTTGATTTCAGTTCAGGCCATGATCTCGTGGTTAGTGTGTTCGAGCTCTGCATTGGGCTCTTTGCTGACAGCTCAGATCCTGGAAGCCTGCTTTGGACTCTGTGACTCCTGCTCTCTGTCCCTCCCCCATGCGCACTGTCTCTCTTTCTCAAAAATAAACAAAATTTTTAAAAAAAATTTTTAATGGTTCAATTGTAATACTGTCACACAATTGTGCGCCATATAGCACAGAAAACAAACAAGCAATATGTACAACCACAGAGATGATCTGGTTACATTTTTAGAAAGTTCAAAAAACTATAAAACTAAATCCTACCATTTAAGGATACATGCTTATGTGCTAAAACTATAAAGAAAATCAAGTAAGTAAGTACCAAAAAGATAGGATACTGTCAAGTCAGGAAAGAGGATAGGAAGATCTATCACAAAGAAGGAATATATATACGGAGCTTCTGGGGGCTGACACTATTCTATCTCTTCACCTAGCTGGTGGTTACAATGGTGTTATTTTATTATTTATTATTATTATTTATTGTCTTTGCATTTGTTATCTGTGTTCAGAAGGAAAGGCTTAGAATATACATATATCAATGCCTTTGCATACAACATCCAGAAAATTACCCAAGAAACTAATAACACTTGCCTCCAGGGAAGGCATGTCTAAGAGGGATTAAAGGACAAGAAGGGTAGCGAAACACTGTCCACATTACTGTTTTTCAACTATTTGAAGGGCAGGTAAAGCATGGGAGATTTAACTCTGACAAGAAAATATGTTATCAGTCTTGACAATGTCAAAGTATAAATATAAATGACACCAATTAAGAGCCAGAAGTGGTTTAAAAAATGGGAAAGGAAGAGATAGATCCACTAATAGTCATACCTTCCAAAGTGGAGAATTGACCAAAAAAATAGATACTTTAGTATTATGTAAACTGTAAAGGTAACAAAGGAACTGAAAATAATGATATAATTACCAAAAATCAGAAAGGGGGGAGAGGGATTTATGCAGCAGTACAGGTTACCCAAATCCTCATTTATCACAGCAGAAAGTTAATAGATAATATCTACAGGATATCAAGGATGAAGCATAATATTTAGAAACATAAGTGACCACTTTGGGGCGCCTGGGTGGCTTAGTCGGTTGAGTGTCCGACTTTCGCTTAGGTCATGATCTCGCGGTTCGTGGGTTCGATCCCCGTGTCGGGCTCTGTGCTGACTGCCAGCTCAGAGCCTGGAGCCTGTTTCAGTCTGTGACTCCCTCTCTCTCTGACCCTCCCCTGCTCACGCTGTCTTTCTCTCTCTCTCCTAGAAATAAATAAGACATTAAAAAAAAAAAATGAAACATAAGTGACCACTTAAAAAGCTAAAAAAAAAAAAAAAGAAAGAAAGAAGCAAAAGGGCGTGGAGCAGCAGATGCATTTCAATTATAAGCCATTAGATAACTATTTGATTTTTAAGCATGGATATATATTGCCTTGATTAAAAAAGAAAAAATAATAATTTTCTACTTAGAAAACATACATCTAAGGACATAAGAACATTTATTTTATCAAGTACAAAATAATACAATACTGACTGAATCTACAAGAGCTAAAATGGCCAAAATCCAGATCTATTAATGTAGAGAGAACAGAGGAATGCAATTACTATTATTGGATCAGAAGACGAAAATGAATACATCCACTACTCAATAAATGACCATTTATGAAAAAATCCAAGCTAAGGGGCACCTAGGTGGCTCATTCAGTTAAGTGTCCTAACTCAGTTTAAGCTCAGTTCATTTTCTCACAGTTCCCCAAGGCGGGCTCTGCACTGACAGCATAGAGCCTGCTTGGGATTCTCTCTCTGCCCCTCCCCTGCTTGTGTGTGTACTCTCTCAAGTGCACCCACTCGCTGTCTCCCAAAATAAATAAATAAGCTTAAATGAACAAATAAATAAGAAATAAGAATAAAAATCCAAGCTAAGTACTATGCCATGGTAGAGGATAGAGGGGAAAACTGCATAGATCTCTCCACTTCTATTCCGTAGCACCCTCCAATTCATTATCCACAGGTCTGTAGTGTTATCTCTTTAAGATACAAATCTGATTATATACCCTGAAAAACTGGTCACTAAAAGTGAGCTGGTAAAGTAGGTTCTAAACATTTCTGGAGATGTTGGGCAGTCAGTCACAAGAAGCTGCCTTCCTTAGGTAGGCAGTTAACAAGTCACTAAGAAAAATGAGTAAGCAAAAAAAGGGTTAAGATGTATAAATTGAAAGAATACTCAATAATCTAGACTTGAAGCTAGCTATGGGAATGTATCTTGAAACACACTTAAAAGAATGTATCAAAAGGGTGAGAGACCCAAATTGATATGACATAGAACAAAAGAGAAAAATAGTGAAATAAATAAGCCCAGAAAGGAATTGTGAAGGTAATGAGGCTTGAAGGAGATAATGAGAACACCATGGTACTGTAAGGGCAAGAATGAACTAAAAGTGCATGGCTTTCACATAATCAATCAGAATATGTGCAGGGAAGAATTAAACTGATCAGATTTAGGAATTAAGTAGAAGTAATAGCTCTGAAAGAAGATAGCTAAAATAAAATATCTCTACTTAAGATAAAAATATTTTTATTTTAAAACATTTTAAATATTTAAACATCTCTGCTTAAAATATTTTTATTTTAAAATATTTAAAACATTTAAATATCTCTATTTAAAATCAAACATTTTCTATTTCAATGACAAGACTTAGTACACAAGTGATCCAGAATTCTTAACAATAAACAGTCAAGTACACAATGTCCCAGTGGTAAAACAATAACTTTAGGGCACCTGGGTGGCTCAGTTGGTTAAGAGTCCGACTCTTGATTTTGGCTCAGCCCATGATGAGCCCCATGTCAAGCTGACAGTACAGAGCCTGCTTGGGATTCACTCTCTTTCCCCCTATCACTCACACACACATGCTCTCTATCTCAAAATAAATATTTAAAAAACATTTTTTAATAACGTTATACAAACTGTTGAAGAAGGAAAATGAACAAGAAACAATCCTTTAAATGTTGGCAATTGTTTCTTATCTCTAGCACTATGATAATGGGAAGATTATATCTAGGAATAGAGATTAAAGTACGAATCAAACTTCTCCATGCACCTAACTCCACTGGAATCCTTACATTACCTCTCATTTTTTATAATTAGCAATTTTCAAGAAAAAGTTCTAATGACCCAAGAGAATTAAAATTGCTGGATCTCATCAGATGTAACATATTAGTTTTTCCCATCTTAATGGTAAGTAGAAAGAATTATCCTATACAGACAAGGAAGAACCAAGTAGCAGTTTTATAAAGTTCTGAACTCAGCTCATTAGCATGGGAGACAGGTGGATATGATTATCCATCCATAGAGAACTCACCTTCCAGAAAAGCAAATTCATCCACGGCTTCTATTGCATTATCTGAAACACAATGTAAAGGGACACTTGACTAACTCTGGTCATTTGGACATCAACCTCTTAAAAAAACCACAACCCACATAGTGAAGAGCATGAGGCTTTATGCAAATGAGGGTATTTATAAAATTTGTTCCTTACTTTCCTGAATCCATTTCTACTCCACCACTAAATCTTACATATCAGCTGTCTCTCTACAAAAGTAGAAAAGACTACATAAACTCTGTTCAGTAAGGGGAAACCCTTTGCACTGAAAGTCATCAAAGAAGAGTATGGCAAAATAGAAAGTGGCATTAAGATATACAAAAGCTTACACACGTACAGAGGTTACAAACTAAAAAGAGGCAGAAATCAAACCCCCAGTTTCTAGGGGAGAAAGAAGTGTCAAGTCTGATACAACACAGCAGACAGTATAAAGGGGTATAGTCAGCTTTAACAACACATAGACTGCTTTCATTCCCTACCCGACCACCTATACAGCCACCCAAAGCACTGGCACTCTAAAAGTAGGACTTTCTGTCACTGTGGCAGTCCAAAGGGATGTGGCACCTTTCATCTTACAGTGATGGCTTCCCCCAGCCCCACTTATTTGCCCCCAGATACCAAATACCACAGTGACACTGTACCCAAATCTCTCCTCTGCAGGGTTTTCCTCTTTCCTTGTTGAGCACAGCAGTAGGCATCTTTTGCAATGGTCTCCACAAATAGTTCCTGTGAGGCACAAGGGAAGAGTTGTATCAATGGGTTCTAGCGCAATTACTGTGAGCTCTTCCATTTGACTGGTGGGAAGGAGGTAAGGTGCTCAGGAGCATGGAAAGGCTCTCATTCCCCCTACCGTGGAAGGGCATGACACGTTCCTCCTCCCTCACTTGTAAATTCTCCCGACTCATTCACTTGGGACTCCCACAAGCTGTGTTATACACTGGAAATGCAATTTAAAGTCGTTGCACGTGTCCTTATGAAGAGGCAGGTGTGTCAACAAAACAATACAACTACTGAAGGTAAGTGCCTCTTTCCCCTTGTGTTCCTTTCTACACTCTTATCTCAGAGTCTGGCCCCGGCCGCTCACCTCCTCATCCTTCCAACACTCAGTCCAGACCCTCTTCTTCCCCCGCTTCGCCTCCACCCCAAGCCTCCCAAGCCGCCGCTAAGCCCCGCCTCCCGGAAGGTTCCCCCTTCCATACCCCGCCCCTCGCCACCTCCCCGCCCAGCAACCCCGTGTGGCCTTCGCGCTCCCGCCGCACCGCTGCTCGTGCCAGAATGAAGATGGCTTCCTGTCCCGCGAGGGTCACGTCGGGGTCCGCCTTCACCAAGGCCTTCACTCTCGCTAACGGCAACCTCGAGAGACGAGCTCCGGGCGCAATTGTCGGGGCTTGCGGCGGCGGGGCCGCTGCCTCCCCACTGGGCCCCTCCTCCTCCCGGGGTGTCCCATTTCCAGCCGCCGCCGCCATCCGGGCTTCAAGCGTGCTGCGCGCGGCCGCCGACTGTGCGCGCGCATGAGACGCCGGCCCCTTTCCCGCGCGCGCCGAAGGCCACGCCCCTTTTGGGCGCGTGGCTCCGCCCCTTACGCGGCTGGACGCTCCCGGGACTCCCGGTGCTGGGCGTGGCAGCTGTATATGTGAAGCCGCCGCCGCCACCTCTCTCGCACTCTTCTCTCCGTCCTGGTGAGCACGTCGGGCCTAGTTGAGCCCAGGCACAGTCCCTTACTGGCCGAATGTGGTTGGGCCCGGGTGTTGCGTGGAGGAGCATCCTTTGTCTGAAGAAACCCAGACCTGGCTCTCAAGAATGTCTCAGTCAAGCGGTAAGAGAGTGCTAGCCCAGGCTGAGAAGGGCAGGTGCCCGTGCGAGGCCTGAACGTTCCAGAGGGCACAGCGTAAGGGGAAAAGAGTACCGAGAAAGGCGCGAAATCTGGACCAGTAACGAGGAGAACAAGATTCTCTAAAAGGAGGTAGGACCTTGGCAGGCAGAAATGGAAGAGTTTCAGTCCTGACAGGAAATCACAGGAAAAAAAGCCCTGAGGCTGGAAACTATGAAGTTGTGGTGATCACAAGCCGTACACGCTTCTTCAGTCGCGAGTTGCACCAGAACGCTGGCTCTCAGAAACTTTTTGTTCACAAGCTTCCTTTACACTCAGAAATTACTGAGTACCAAAAAGAGCTTTTGTTTTTGTGGGATTTTTTTTTAATGTTTTATTTATTTTTGAGAGAGAGAGAGACAGCATGAGCAGGGGCGGGTCAGAGAGAGAGGGAGACACAGAATCTGAAACAGGCTCCAGGCTCTGAGCTAGCTGTCAGCACAGAGCCCGACGCGGGGCTCGAACCCACGAACCGTGAGATCATAACCTGAGCCGAAATTGGACGCTCAACCGACTGAGCCACCCAGGTGCCCCAAGAGCTTTTGTTTTTGTAGGTTATATTGATATTTATTGTATTCGAAATTAAAACAGTTTAGAATAGTTAATACATTACACATTAACATAACTTTTTTTATGACAAGTAAACATTTTTTATGACAAGCAAAAAGTCATAAAAGAAGCTTCCAAAAAAGAAGTTTAATGAGGAAAATCTCTTCCATGTATGGCTTTAATAGAAGACAGTTGGATTCTCCAGCTGCTTCTGTATGTTACCATTTTTCACATAGATCTGGAAACTCCTCTGCATCTTGAGAAAATGAGAATGAAAAGGGCAAATAACATCTTAGTATTATTAAGAAAATAGTTTTGACTTCACAGACACCTGCGAAGAGTCTCTCAGAACACACACCACACCCATTAGTCCCCACACCAAAGTTTGAAATCTGCTGACATAAAAGATCAGTTCATATTTGCAATAACAGTTTTAATCTAAGTCAGTTGTTATAATGGCTCACATTTATTAGCATTTACTATGTGCATGGTTCAAAGTGCTTTACATTTATGTATTTATGTATTGAGGAATGATTTTTTAATACCCTTTTTGAAGTAGGTAATATTTTAACTTTTATTTTACAGTTGAGGAAGTTAGAGCACAAAGTGGCTACTTTATCCACAGCAGAATGTACTCAAGCCAAGATGCAGTTGAATTAGATAACATCTACTGTCTTCAGTCATCAATGATGTAGTAAACTCTATGTGACTGGATGAGCAGAGGCTCCCGTAGAGCAGAAGAGGCTTGGTCAAGAGAAAAACCTTCAGGGGCGCCTGGGTGACCCAGTCGGTTAAGTGTCCAACTTAATCTCGGATCACAGTCTCACAGTTTGTGGGATTGAGCCCTGCATCAGGCTCTGTGCTGACAGCTCAGAGCCTGGAGCCTGCTTCTGATTCTGTGTCTCCCTCTCTCTCTGCCCGTCTCCCACTCACACTCTATGTCTCTCTCTCTCTCTCTCAAAAATAAACATTAAAAAAAGAGAGAGAGAAACCTTCAGAAAGGATTCTCTGTCACTGCAAATTTCACTATAACGTCCTTTAGGATCTCAGTACAGAGTCCACCTTCAGATTACACTTGTAGACACTCTTCCACGGGGAAAACTCCACACAAAATTCGTAAAAGCACAGCCAGATTCTTGTGTCTGAGTTAACATAATAAATGAATTGACTGCTGTGGGGACAGAAATTAGTTCAGAGTTCCTGAAGGGTAGAGTCAAATTGGCTTTTGGAGGATTCTTTTTACCTCTTTCTTCCCAGTTTTCTCTGTTATCCATATTTTCCCTACCTTTCTTCCACTACCTCCTCTTCCTTTCCCTTTCCTTTCCTCATTTCCTCTTTTTTTCCCACCTCATCAGTTGTGTATTTTACCAGTTGGCCCAGCTCTATTCTCCTTTCCTTGCTTTTACCATCATGCAAGTTATCATCTACCATTCTCAGGCAAGAAATCTATCCATTTGTATGGAAAATACATACATAGGTATGTATTTGGTGGAAATACATTTCACTTCTGAATTATTTTTTTTTTTTTAATAATTACATGTTGGGGCACCTGGGTGGCTCAGTCAAACATCCAACTTCAGCTCAGGTCATGATCTCACAGTACATGACTTCAAACCCACATCGGGCTCTGCACTAACAATGCAGAACATGCTTGGGAATCACCCTTTCTCTCTCAAAATAAATAAACTACAAAAATAAAATAATTGCATGTGTGTTGTATGTTGTTAAAACTCAACTGAATAAATTTTAAAGATCTTACTCCCTTTATTCAATACTTCATGAATTGAGCAGCATCCAATCTAACAGGTAGAAAAGAGCTCAGGGGCACCTAGGTGGCTCAGTCAGTTAAGTATTGGACTTCAGCTCAGGTCATGATCTCAGTTCATAAGTTCAAGCCCCACATTGGGCTTTGTGCTGACAGCTCAGAGCCTGGAGCCTGCTTCCCTCTGCGCCTTCCCCACTAACACTCTGTCTCTATCTCAAAAATGATAAATAAACATTAAAATTTTAAATTAAAAAAAAGTTCAGAGGAGGTGTACAAAATGAAAGACTTATGGGGGAAGGAAGCAGGAACAGGGAAGTTGTGCTACGCACAAAAGCAGATTGGTTATTGCACAGCCACCTTCCTTTAGGAGATGGCAGGAATCTGTCAGACATATTACCTAACTAGCGTTGATCAGACAGTTCCAGATTAATTTAAGATTCCATTTCTGGGAGAACCTGAAGTGTAGAAGTTTGATGGCATAGGGCTTAGCACTAGTGACTCCATTTTGGGTCTTTTGTTTTTAATACTGTGTTAAAGAGCAAGATTCAACTGAGTAAATTTAAAGATCTTACTGGCTTTATTCAGCAACTTATGAGTTGGGTAGCACCCAACCTAGCAGATAGAAAGCAGCTATGAAGAGCTGTACAAGGCGAGAGATTTTTATAGATCAAAATGAACAGGAGTAATGAAGTTATACTGGACATTTAATGATTGATTAAAGCAGGGTTAGTTTCCTTATATTGAGCAAAGCGTAGTCTTAGAGCCAAGTTAGAAAATTTGTGCTCAGCAGGCAAGCAGCAATGGGCTTCTAGAAAAGTCCTCCTTTTCTAAAAGAACCAAGCATAAAAATGTTAAGTTTTGGCTTGCTGACATGGGGCTTACCATGAGCAGCTCCATCTTGAGCCTAATCTGGTTGCTTTAACATGTACATGTATGTAAAATACACACATTTGTAAGGTCAAATGTTAAATAAACCATAGGGAAGACAGGGTAAAAAAAATTAAGGTAAAAAATCCATAGGAATGTTGAAAAGGGAAAAATAAAGAGAAAGAAAACATTATCATGAACTTGGCCATAGAAACCTTGGGATGCAGGAATTGCTTAAGCACTTGAAAGTCAACTCACCAGAAAGAGAAAGCATATATAGAAAAAGAAAAGAGATAAATCAAAGGAAAAGTTTTAAATCTTTAAAAGATACAAAGGAATAGTTTACTCTTAATTCAGTATTTAAATAAATTGTTTAGTCAGTGTTCTCAATCCTTCCTTTCCAACTCTGATTGAAATGATAATAATTCAGAGGAGAGTTAAGATGGTGGAGCAGCAGGGAGACCCTGAGCTTGTCTCATCCCTGAAACGCAGCTGGATCAGAACCAAGCCATTTTGAACATGTAGGAAACTGATCTGAGGATTAACACAACAATCTGCATAACTTGAGCCACAGAACTTGGCAGGTGCATGGTGTTAAGAGATGATCTGGGGGGAGAGAAAAGCCGTGGAGGGTAGGAAGCTGTTTTTGTGGAGAGAGGACAGAGAAAGAGAAAGGGGGAGAGTGCAGCACATCAGAAGTGCAAGAAAAGCACTCCCTCCAAAAGTAGCTGGAGAGAAAGAGTGAAAACGCTCTTAGGGGACTGAACAAGAAATCTGTTCTCCAAAACCATTGATGGGAAGAAAGGAGAGGGTTTCAATGCTACCAGGATTTTATTAACAGTGGAGTCCAGAGTCTGAGGTTTTGGAGCTCTGCTGGCAGTGCTCTGGCGAGGAAGCAGGGCGAATCCCCAGGAGCAGGCAGGGGTCTGAGGGGTCCATGTGCCACGCAGGGAGAAGCTGTTCCCCTGCTTGGAGTGCTCTTCCCCTACTTGGAGTGACTTATAGAGGCCATACAGACTCCCCATAGGCAAAGGTCCCAGCGGACTCCGGAGAGCAGTCACGTTTGCTAGTATTGGGACAAAGAGTCCAGAATGTGATGAAACCTGACACTGGCTGTGTGTTGTGGTTTGCCATAATCTATGATCCTCTGCTGCTGTGCAATCACACAAGTGTTTCCTAGGACAATCTGGCACCCAGCCATTGCTCAGCAAGACCCTACCCTAGAGAGCTGGCCCGGGTCCAAATCACAGGGGTCTCTGAAATGTGGGGTTTTGAAACACAACCCCATCTGAGATAAAACTCTGGAGGGAGGTACCACCCGGCAGGCTGACAGCTTGGACAGAGACAGGGTAGAGGCAGGGAGTAGATGGAAGCCTAAGACAAAAGAGGAGTGCTTGATCGCAAGTGGGGGAGAGCAGGAAGTTCCTCTGCAAGAGACCAGGGAACTGGGTGAAG